TGGTTGATACAATATCAGCACTTAAAATAGCTTCTCCAGTGACTGCTTCTAATGCAGATGCATCAATGATATCGGCAATTGTGCTAGTGTCGTTGAATGCGCATTGGTGCGTTTGAAACTGTTGCTGTTGTTGCTCTACTAATTGTGATTGCGGATCTTCAACAAAAGACAACGGGGATATTGCTTTCTGATGTTGCGGCTGCTGTGATTCAAGTGGTGGTGATAACGGTGGTGGTAGTAGTGCGTGTTGGAATATGCCAGCTGCTCGCAATGGTGCTACTCTTTTTCACTGCTGACTATTGCGACGCATTGCACTTCAACATTTTGGTGTAACATCTCATCATCTGTGGACTAGTACCGCGGAGCAACAAACCAAGTGTACAAAATCAATATATCAGCTTAATGTAATTTCTTATATTGCTCCTGGTGCTGTTGTTGCTAGAAAGTTATGGCCGGTTACTTGCAAGTGCGGATATAGTAAATCCGTAAGGATTACTCCTACTGCTTTTACTTCTTCCACTGCTATGGTAGATGTAGATGTTGCAGGCAGGATCGCCAATTGTAGGTATTTATTTTAAATAACAAAACTTATTTTATTTTCTGTTGTACACAATTTGAGAAAAGTTTGAATAATAAAAATTTTCTATTTGATTGACGAACCACAAAAATCACATAAATCTAAAATTTCCAAAATTACAAAGTTGAAATGAACACAGTACAATAAAAGGTAATAACACAAATACAGACCCTACAGTAAATATTCTCAAATTTTTAAATCGAAATTGAAAAATACTATATTAGATTTTTTTTTTTAATTATTAATCATATTGTTTGTAAAAATTTTAATTGTACCTTGCCATAAGCATTTGAATCCGTTGTCGCCGTAGTTGTGTTTTACTGAGCGAAATTTTTGGGCGAAAGTTGCCGCCGTCGTCACGCTACTGTGCGAAAATTCGCCGTTCGTCGGTATTGTGTTTCAACGGAAAGTAGGGGAAAAATGGGAGAGTAAAATCGGCCCTGTCTTTGTCAGAAGTTGCATGATTTTACCCGAAGAATGTTTGTTGGTAAAATCTGGTAAAGTGTCTAGCTATTATTTTTATTACCTTCTTACCTTCCTCTTATTAGCTCGGGATGTAACTATGTAATCTTGATGCGCCCAAAAGATGCAGCGATTTCTATTCTCAAGTTACATACCTGATGACAGCACGAATGGCAATTATAATAGGGAGATTTTAGTTTTTTAAACTATAATTTTTTTATAACAAAGCTTAGCATAAATGTAATTTCAAGAACTATTTAAATGGTTTACTTTATACAGAGTTGCATGAAACAACCGTGTGGACAAATTCCGTGTTTATATGCACTCTTAATACGATTCAACAACTCTTAACTCGCGTTCAAAATATGATTTATGGTGGCACGGTTAAAAGTTTCAATTCGATTAGAGAATGTGTTTACATGTGTGTGTCTATATAACATGGTTTGACTTAGAACGAATTGAAGCATCATATAAACGTGGTATATGTTTGACACTTTAGTCGCAGTCCAAAAGAGAGAACTCTCGAAACTACTTCTACCTTGTTGAACAACACGAATTCATATAAGGTGGTATTGTTTCAACAGCTTTGAGTGGCGTTTGATTTTAATTGGAAACACAAAATCACATCGAATTTATTTAGAAATTTTTGTCCACAGCTTTTCCATTTAGGCAACTTCTCGTTGAGTTTGGTTAAATATATTCCCGGTATATTTATTTAATTGCTTCTTCTAATATTTCTCATAATGAACTAATAAATACTATTTATTTAAAAATTTTACATGTATAATCGCAATTTTGTTTATCATTTTTTGGGATTTTGACACTTCTTCTTTGTCCGCTATTCTTCGTACTGTTTCGTTATTGACGTCAGAACCAGCTGACAATTTAGTGACCTTTTTTTTTGAGACTAGAGACGTGAGACAGCTTACTGAATACCAAATAGTCTCAAAATAGATGTTCACCACAAAAAGTCACTGACTAGAGACTGTTTACTCAATACCAGGGCAAGTCACATCTAATCTCGAGTCACTAAATTTGAGACTAGCAATTAGTGACTCTTTTTGTGACTTGAGATGATTTCGGTATTCAGTAAGAGAGAGTCACAAAGAGCTCACCAAAAATAATGTGTGGTGAAAACAACAAACACAGTCAACTGTTAGCATGTTTGTAGTATGCACCGAGGTATATTAAATAAGGTGATTTTGACATTTCTCTCATTTGAACACCGACTATTATGTCAAATGATGAATAATTTTTAACCCTTTTCAAGTTGGCGTTTTCTATTTTTCGTTAAAAATTAAATTACGTGCTGTGAGATAGTTTTGAATTGTGTAATTTTTTGTTTTTCGACCACATCCATTTATAGAAATCTACATAGTATGTATACAAAAATGAAAAGGAGCTGGAACTACGAGCGTTGCGCTGTGTGTGGCAAGAGCCAAGAAGATAAAATGCTGCGAAATAATTAGTTTCTTAAAAAATTATGCTCACATAAGCACGTCAGGACTAGATTTATACTGATACTCATACATACATACGTATATAGAAGAAATCATGATTTTTAAAATAAAATATTTAAATAAGAAAAACAAAACAATGTTTAAAATAGTTTAATAAAAAATTTATTTGATTTTCTTTACGTGGTTTCCGTTATGAGGTATTCGTTTCAGTCCATATGTCTATATGTGCATATAAGATGCGAATGCAATTAAAATTCTTTGAAGATAATATTGAAGTAATTCTTAAAATTAGTATACGTACATAACTATCTGTGTTCGTATGGAATTGTAGCTTATGTAAGGAAGCTGGCTTTAGTGCAATGAGGCATTCCCTTAATTCTTTAAACGACAAGGAATTTTTTTTGCCAAAAGTTCTTCAACGGCTCGACGCCAGTGAGTCATTCGCAATCGTATGCTGCGAATGCTGCATTAATTTCTATTGATGCTAATTTGTAGCAAACATGGCACTCGCACCTCAAAGGGTTAATTTGTTTGTTTACAGTTTTTTGACATTATAACTAGCTGCAAGAGCGTTCGAGATAGTTGTCACTTCTCACTTATTAAATATGCCTTGGTATGAACGATTGAGAGAAATAGAGATTGCGCCTATTGCGGTACCGCTAATTCTTTGTGAATTTCAAAGAATAAGCGGTGGTGTGCGTGACGTCATCTTGGCACAATTATCAGCCCTGTTCGCGTGCGCACTATCCAGTATATCCAGTACTAATTTTACTGGTTTTTTTACTGGATGTCGTTTTCGTACGCAAAAACTTGCAAGAAACTAGCAAAAGAGGGGAAATTGAGAGAGAAAAAATTACAGTTGAACTTGCAAGTTTTACTGGATTTTTACTCGATAAATTTTTACTAGCTACTATTTGCTAGTAAGAAAAACAGCTGATGGCATGATGCTTATTGTAAATCACATTAAGAAAATAATTGTTTTTGGTGCTTTTAGAGTTGGAATTGACAAAATAAACCTATTTAAATATATAATAAGATGGAAAACACTAGTTTTCTAAGAAAATTGCATCGGAAAATAACAAATTAATCAGCTGTTCATAAAACTAGCAACTTCTTGCTGGTTTTGCGTTTTCGTACTTTCTTGCATATTTCACTCATTGGGAGTAAATATTGGCTTACTCTCTTCGAAATTTGGTTACTGGCAAGTTACTGGCTATTTTTTGCTGGAGAATACGAAAACACAACTATTGATTGAGCAAAACCAGATAACGATTTAACTGGGTACCTTTTAGTCATGTGCCCAAAGATCGGGTGACGCGATCCAAACAATTTTACACGCACTTGTAGTCAAGAGTCTACACTTTATTGTAAAACCTAATTTAATAATTTGCGGTCACTAATTTATTAATAAGTTCGTTCTGAAAAAATCACTTTCTTGTGAATTTCGGAGTGAGTTCTTCGGATATATACTGTTGACGGCGTAGCCGGAGTTATATGCACAATAAATGGAGAATACCTTTGACAATAGAAAGGTGTTCTGCACAAAAATACTGTTTATCGAGTTTGCATTTCCGGTGTCAAAATACTAATTTTAGACCATTTTCCATTGGTGCCCCAGGGGTTTGTGGAAGGTTTCTTGGGATCAGGTGTGACTTTTTACAAACTGTGAACTGTGCTCTTTCTAGTGGGTTAGATATCAAGACCCACGCCCCCTCCCCTTCCGCCCACTAACCCAAAAACTGTGGACAAATAACTAAACGTTTTTAAATTAAACACGGCACTATCGTTTGCTGCTCGGTGTCCACGAAATAAATGAAATCGTTTGTTTACATTTTATGGGGAAAAATTAGCGATAAAGTTATTATTTGCATTAAAATTGAAACACATTTCAGGAAAAAAAAGAAGAGATATTACTGAAAAATTATGTCTAGAATTGTTGCAGTACAGTATATATTTTAAAAATTGCAGATTTTTGTAAAATATCAACCAGAAAAACAGAAAATACCTCATCTGGGTAAATTTTTAGACGCCAAATGAATTGAAATATCACGACCGAGTGTGCGAAAGTATAGTCGTCATGTATTTTTGTATGTCGTAAATTTTAAACGCCCAAAAAATATATTAAGGGGGTTCGCAAAGTATGTACCATCAAAGTCATATTATGAATTATAAAAAATATTTGGTTGTGGTTTCAAGTTCTGTAAACATTCATTTAAGCTTTTAAAGTTTACGACATACAACAATGTGACACTTACGACACCGTTGTGAATCCCTCAAATATTTTGTATAACCTTGCGTCGTAAGAATCAGTTTGTGGTTACAGCCATCTTTTGGGCTATTATACGTAACCTACATTGAAGTTTAGGAGCTGTGACTCCGACAAAGCCTGCAGGCCTGGGTCTAGGTCTAGGTTTATATTGTATAAGTATTTGTATAACTATGTATGTATGTACATATATTTATGTAGGTATTAATTAAACTATGCTTTTACTTTTTTCTAGATTTATAGGGGGCTAGAGACCAAATTTACAATTGAAAATCTAGAGCCGGGAACTATGTACCAATTTCGCGTTTGTCCAATTCGAGTTACTACTACCGGCGAAGAGTTATTTGGTCAATACACTTCTGCATTCCGATACCAAGTTCCTCATATTGCATCACTGGACGACATCGATGGCAACATATTAGGAAATATTTCCAGCGTTTTCGGAAGTGCCAACAATAGTGGCCACGCGCCTATGGGCTGCCACGGACATTCGCATCTGGCGCATCACGTACACACTTTGCATACACACCACTCGCACAACCACCCTCCACACAGTCATTCGCATCACAGCAGCAGACAATCGTCGTCCAGTCTTCACCACCGTTCTGTAAGTGCATCTGCTGCCAGTCCGAATGGTTGCAGCAGCAGCAGTGGCAACAACAATAGTAACGGTAGTAGTAATAATGGTGGGAGTACAATTGTTATTGGCCCAAATGCTATTGGCTTAATACCGCTGGGTACGTCGATGGCAAATGAATTGGGTGCAGTTGGATTCGCTAGTTGTGATGATCCAATGCATCATCACCACCACCATCATCACCAGTTTCATGGAGGGAATATTGCTGCTGGACTCGAAGCCGAAGTAGCTGATTCAACGACTGCATCGTTTTTAGCGTCCACTGCCAATAATCTATTGGCAAACAACGTCCTATTGGCACATGGAAGCTCATCAACAAATCATGGGCAACATGGTGCTGTACGGCGGTGTATAAGCAAGATAACTACAATTTACACAAATCGTAAGCGTTTCACAGATCAGGAAAAGGCAGTTTTATTCATGGTTTGCTTTCTATTTTTCACGTTTTTATTTGCAACGCTTGTTAAAGCCCTCATGCGATAAGCTTTGGCTGAAAATAATAAAAAAAAACCAACCCTCCCGATTATAAAGAAAGGAAGGAAGGGAAGATAGGTATTAATAAAGGTAGTAAAATATCGGCTTGTCAGATAACTGTCTATTAAAAATCGATTACTAA